AGCCTGCAATTGAGGTGTGTGCCCTTGACCAGAAATGAACCTGAGGCCCCTCCCTCTCCTCCTGCAGCTCTTAACTCTAGGGTCACGTCAGTATCCACTGAGCCAAACTGGCTAGGGCTGCACTCAGAGATGAGTGGCTGAAGAGGGCAGGGCAGCTGCAGCACACGGCACAGGGGTAGGTTAGTGGAGGACGGAGCTGACCCTGGAAGCAGCTATATCAGTGACAAGGGCGGAGTGAGGGGATACCTGACAGGAGAGGGCTCAGGGAGGAAGGCCTGAGTGCTCACCGGGCATGTGTGAGCACACTCATGGCGAGTCAGGTGCTATGGAAGTATCCTATATAATAAAAGCCTGGCCCTGACTGGCTTGGCTCAGTGGATAGAGCGTCAACCTACAGACTCAAGGGTCCCAGGTTCAATCCAGTCAAGGGCACATGCCTGTGTTGTGGGCTCCATCCCCAGTGGGGGATGTGCAGGAAATAGCCAATCAATGATTCTCTCTCATTGGTGTTTCTCTCTCTCTCCCCCTCACTTCCTCTCTGAAATAAAGATATATTCACATTTGCTCTTATATGTAGAAATAATACTGGAAAAGATACCCAAGAAATTGATGAAAGGTTATCTTATTATAAACATTTCTGAGGCTTGATTTTTAAAACAGGACCTGCCCACATGACCCTTTCTTTTTTCTTTCTTTTTTAAAATATATTTTATTGATTTTTTACAGAGGAAGGGAGAGGGATAGAGAACTAGAAACGTCGATGAGAGAGAAACACCCCCTACCAGGTACATACCCTTGACCAGAATCCAGGACCTTCCATTTTTTAAATGTTTTATTGAGAGGAAGGGAACAAGAGAGGAATAGAAACACTAATAATGAGACAATACTTGATTGGCTGCTTTCTGCATGCCTTACACTAGGAATCAAGCCTGCAGCCCAGGCATGTGCCCAGACCAGGAATCGAACGATGACATGGTTCATAGGTCAGTTTTAACCAGATCCATGCCAGCTGGGCTGCCCACATGGACCCTTTCTGGTCTCTGAGGCCCAGGCTTACCTCCAGGCAGTGCCCCCAGTCAGAGTCCTTCCTCCCTCAGGCTCCCAACCCCCACAGCAAGCACAGAGGGGTGACAGGGAACAAGTGTAATTCATCCCTCAAGTATTGGCTGTGCACATATGTGCCAGGCACTGCGCCGGGTGCCAGGGGGTCACAGTCAAGTGGAGCCCCGTGGCACGGGGCTTGAAGCAGAGGGAAACTGCAGGGAGAGAGCTGCCGGCCAGGCTGCACGCAGGTGGGCAGACCCTGCGCTGGAAGCCAGGGAGGTGCCCCTGGTGAGGACCCTGAGCCAGAATCTGAAGGATGAGAGGGAGCTAATCAAATGGAAAGGACGTGCCCAGCAGAGGGAACAGTCTGTGCAAAGGCCGGTGGGGAGCGGTGATGGGGCACGAGCGGGGGAAGCAGCCAGGCTGGCAGGGAGGCCCGGCCCATGGGGCTGTGGAGGCTGACAGAGCCCTGGCCCAGCCCTGCAGCAATGGGGCGTCATGGCAAAGGTTAACACTCAGTATTGTGACAAGACCTGCGTTTGACAATAATAATAATCAGCTGCTGAGCTTTACTGTGTGCCAGGCTCAGTGCTGACTGCTTTCCGTGGCTCGCTAGATTCTCACATTATTAACTGGGAGCTGCTGTTCCCATTTTATAGATGCAGGGCTCGTCCTTAGAGGTTCGGGCCCTCGGCCCAGAGCCCACAGGAGAAAGCAATGGAGCCTGTGCTGAGCACTACCAGGCCACACCCACTAATCCACCCCCAGGACGACCTCAGGAAGCAGGGACTGTTATCCTCCCCACTTTATAGATGAAGGAACAGGCCCAGAGAGGTCGAGAGAGCTGTCTGAAGCCACACAGCTGGAAGTGGAATTTGGCCACGTTCTCAACCACGGCCTCACATTGCTTTTGGAAGGAGTTGTGGGAAAAGCTCTTGAGCTACTGCGTGGAGGGGCAGGGGCGCACAGTGGAGGCAGGAGAGGATGGCTGGCCTGGGACAGCTGGGACAGTGCCATGGACGCACTCAGTGAGGGGCCGCACAGGGCTGGCGTGAGTGGAACCTGGGTCCCTTGGGGTCAGCTTGGGGCAGCTGAATGGACTGGGAATCATTCTCTGAGGCAAGGTGGGTAGTACGGAAGCATGACAGGTTTGGTCCGGGACAAGGAAGTTTTGGGGTGACTATGGGACATCCTGGTGGGGAGTAAAGGAGGCAGTTTGGACTCACAGATTGGGTGAGATGTAGTCTGGGGGTGCCTAAGAGGAGGCCTCAGATTTGGTCCTGAGACTACATAGGAAGAAGCTGCCAGAGAAGGGAGCTGCCACCAGAGAAACCAGCCCTGCTGACACTTGATCTTGGACTTCACCCTCCAGAACGGCGAGGGAGCATCGACCTATGAACCAGGAGGTCACAGTTCAATTTCCCGTCAGGGCACATGCCCAGTTGCAGGCTCTATCCCATCCCATGTGGGACATGCAGGAGGCAGCCGATCAATGATTCTCTCTCATCATTGATGTTTCTCTCTCCCACACCGTCTCAAATCAGTAAAAAACAGGTGCAGGAAGAGATCAAGCGTTGTGACTTTGAGGTGTGACATGAGGAGGTGCTGTCAAGGAGGGAGAAGGTGCAAATGGGGGTTTCTAGTCAGGGTCCCAGGGGAGCTGAGCAGGCTTGGAAGAGCTGCTGAGGGGAACACTGGCCCTGTGGGTGCAAGCCCCCCAGCAGCTCTCCTGGGCGGGACGGATTGAGGAGAGAACTTTGGGTTTCCTGCCAAAGAGTTCTGAGATGAGGCTCTGTGAGGGCTAAGCTGGAGGAAGGGGCATGATGAACCACCCGGGGCTCCTGATTGTAAGCTGCAGGGGGTCACCTGTGCATGTGTGTGTGTGTGTGCATGTGTGAATGCTGTGCGCGCGTGTGGGGCAAGAAGTCTGAGCAGGAAGGGGCTTCGGGTGGCCCACCAGAGCCTCCCCCCACAGAAGGCCAGGGCAGGGGAGGGATGGGAACAGGGTGCCAGCCAGGCCCCTGGGAGTTCACCTGGTGGGAGGTGCTGGGGGAGGGGGTAGGATGGTGAGCACAGCCGGCAGGCCTCTGGCTCTCTCAGGCTGAGGGCATGACCACGCCAGCCGCAGAGCAGGCCGAGGGCTGACAGGCACGGACGGCCCTGAAGTGTGAGCACAGACCAAGCCCAGGAAACAAGAGCACCCAGCAAGCAGCCCTGGAGCCTGACACCACCGCTGTGACCCTCTGAGCTCGGGCCTCTCAGCCAGCTTGGGGGACAGAATCGCTCTGCACCCGATGCCTTGTGAACCAGGGCCATCCCTGCCTAAGAGGCAGGAAGTGGCAGCAGCCTCCACCCAGGCAGACACCCTCACTCAGAACCCATGGCCAGACCCCATGGCAGTCGGCAGAGCGAAATCCCAGAGCTGTCTCAGCGATGCCCACAGGAGCTGCACGGACATCATGCCCATTTCATAAACGAAGAAACTGAGCCCCAGAGAAGGACCTCATAGGCTCCCTCCCCTCCTGCAGACTTGAGGGTGAGGGCTAGAGGCAGACCCCAAGGTCCGGATCGGGGCTCCCTTACCTGGGTCCCGAGGCCTGCATGCCCCCTGACGAGGGTCCCGAGTGCCGCCCAAGCACGGCCAGCCCCGAGCAGCAGCTGTGTCGTCAGGGAGGGGGAACGAGAGGCCCAGCCCACCGCGCCTACCGCCTGGGCCGCATGTATGTTTAATGATGTCTATTATTCCCGTTTTGTCTCTGGAAGAGGCTGAGCAGCTGACAGGAGCCAAGAACAGCCCAGAGACCTGGGCAGCAGGCTTACCACTCCAGCCTGGCCCCGAGACCCCCAGAGCTTACCCCTCCCGCAGGCCCAGCCCGGCAGCCTCACTAGACCTGTTACCGTTCACCCCGAGGCACACTTCCTCCAGGAAGCCTTCTCCACGCTCAGGCATCTTAACCTGCGGTTCAAATCCTGTCTCCGCTCACAAGCTGGGCAGTGCAGGGCAGGCCACTGCCCGGGGACAGGCTGCTGGGGAGGGCCGTGCACAGGCCCTGGCACACCCAGGGCTTAGAGAACACCCGCTGCCCCTCCTTGGCACCAAGACCCTCCAGCCCACCTTCCACGGCAACAGGCTGCTGCGTCCCCTATGGGAGGTCAGTACAGGACTTCCGGGGTTGCTGCCCACCTCAGCAGCCAGGCCTGGTCTCCAAGGCGCCACCCATCCTGGAGTCCACGTTCTCCCCAGCAGCCCAGGCTTGCGCCCGGTCTGATCGTTGGGCTCATTGCTGCCCACGGACCAAACCTGGCAAGAGTTCAGAAAATGTACAAAGTTGACCCACTCTGAACAGGAACTGTCATCCTTTATTTCAGAGCAGAGATCAGAGGGCTCAGAGAAAATAACCCAAACCCGCCGGGCCCCAGGTCTGCACAGGGCCTGGGCTGCCCTGGGAGGGTGCCCTCCAGACCTGTCAGGCTATGGAGGGCATGGACTGGTCTTTAAAACCACTGACCGCTGCTTTCCATCACGGGCGGCCGGGGGACAAAATGGGGGACAGCTTTTTGCCCTGGGAGGCCCCTTCCTAGGTTTGAGAAGCTGCAGGAGCGGAGGGGCGAAGTACCCCTACAGTCCCACCACCTCCGGGACCCCGGAGGCCTGGCTCACCCCGCACTGAGCGGCCGGCGTGCTCTCTGCCCCAGGGCTGGGTGTGGGCGCAGGGGTCCCAACCCAGAACGCCCCCAAGGGGCTGTCTCATGGGAATGCCTCCAGCCCAACCTAAGGCCCCGCCCTCTCCCTCAGTGCCACACACTCTTGTCCTTTAGCTACTGAAGACATTTCCGGAAAAAGCAGACTTAAGAGACCCCTTCCTGGAATACATGTATTTGTACTCTTCCTGTTTGGGCTTCAGTGGGTCCCCCTGGGTCCGACTGCCCAGGGAGACGGGTGGGGCCCGGCCCGGCTACTTCTTGACAATCTGGATGACGTCTTCGTGCTCCATGGTGTGGGTGAGGCCCACCCGCTGAGGGCTGTACTTGGTGCTGGTGCCCTGGGAAGAGGCAGAGGGCAGCGTCAGATTCAGTCCTGATCAAGGCCAAGCCTGGGCAGCTGCTACTAGAGGAAGGCGGGGTCTAAGCGGGGTATCCCAGCACCGGCGAGCACCGCAGGCCTCAGCCGGACTCCCCAGGGGTCTATCACCTCTGGGTCCCAAAGTGGAGGCCTGTGTCCAGTGTGGGCAGCATGCACGGGTGGAGTGGGACAGACACACTCGGTCCCACATGGGACGCTGCACAGGAGTGGGGGCACTGTGCTCCCTCCCGCCCCAGGGTGAAGTTGGGCATGCCACCCGCCCTCACTCACCCACACCAGCGCGTACTTGAACTGGCTGGCAAGCGACCGGTGGATGCGGTGGCACTAGTGGGAGGACAGGAGAGTCAGCGGGAGGTGAAGTTCCATCCAACCCCACCAAGCAGTTCCCAAGGCAGGTCCTCACACCTGCCCCTCCACACACCAGGTCTGCCAGGGGCTGGGCCTGGCTAGCTGTCAGTGCCCTCTGCCCACCTCGCCCGACAACAGCCCTGACAGATGCTTTCAGGCCACCACGCCTCAGCCTGGTCACTCTCTCTCATGCCTTCCGCCCACAGCTGTAACCTGGAGCCTCCCACACCACCACCCACCCTCCACCCCCAGCCTGCGGCATCAGCATTCCCAGGTGGAAATGAAGGTCATGGGAATCCCAGCGCAGTGGGGAGGCTGGAGGCGGCCTGGGAGCAGCAGCCCTTCCCTGGGAGACGTGGGCCCCTGGGGCTGGGCGGGCAGAGGAGGGGAGCCAGGGAGCAGATGGGCCAGCACTGCTCTCCTCCCACTGAGGAGCCACAGCCTCAGGCCCTGGAGGGGACCCGCCTCGGCCAGCACTGGGACAGGGGCAGGCAGGAGCTTGCAAGAACATCTCCCAAGGAGCCACCCTGACCGGCCTTCTCCAGGCAAGTGACACCTAACTGCTCCCCTGCTGGCCTGGTTCCCCCTAACTGCCCTCCCCTCCTGGCCTGGTTCCCCCAACTGCTCTCCCCTGCAGGCCTGATCTCCCCCAACTGCTCTCCCCTGCAGGCCTGATCTCCCCCAACTGCTCTCCCCTGCTGGCCTGATTGCCCCCAACTGCCCTCCCCTGCTAGCCTGATTGCCCCAACTGCCCTTCCCTGCAGGCCTGGTCCCTCCCAACTGCCCTCTCCTGCTGGCCTGATAGCACACGACTGCCCTCCCCTGCTGCCACTTTGTGGTGGCCATCATGTGTGTTGGAGTGATGGTCAATTTGCATATTACCTCTTTATTATATAGGATTATTATTTTTATTAATCCTCAGTTGAGGATATTTCAATTCGTTTTTAGGGAGAGTAAAAGAGAGAGGGAAAGACCAAGGGAAATGCATTGATTGGTTATCTCCTGCATGAGCCCTGACCAGGGCCCAGGCTGCGGAGGAGCCTGCAACCAAAATACTAGAATTGAACCTGGAACCCTCTGGTCCACAAGCCAATGCTCTAGCCACTGAGGTAAACTGGCTAGGGCGATTATACTTTGGCCAGATCAGCAAAAACTATTTTTTGGTGTGCCACAGAATTTAGTAATTAGTTTATTTGCTATGAGATGGAAAAGGTTGAAAATTGCTGAGCTAGAGGAAAACAGAAGTCCAAGAGGACGGCTGAGTGACCTGGAGCATTGTCTGGCTCTCGGGTTAACACTTGCTCTTCCAAGTCCCAAGGTACCTTCCCTGAAAGATGGCACAGACACCCCCAGGGGAGAGGTGGCTGTGCCTCTGACAGCCGCAGACACAGAGGGCCCTTCCTCTCCCGGCCCACAGGCTCGCCCGGAGCCCTGTCTCAGGGCCTTTGCAAACACACTCCCCTGCTGGAGGGCCTCTCCTAGGCCCAGCTCCTCAGTCAGTCCTGTGGTCACCTCCTCAGAGACCTCCTGGCCTCTCTGTAGACTTGGTGCCACCCTCCCTACTTGCTGTGTGGCTGCTTGGCTCTGAGATTGGGCATCTGGCATGTTGACCCCAAAGGACCCTAGTTCTGGCAGGAACTGGGTCTTCTTTGTTGATGCTCAACAGACAGTGCTGAGTGAAGAAAGCATTCAAGCCGCCTCTGGGTGAGGGCAGGCTGTGGGGGCAGGACATGCTGGGATGCATGGGGACCCAGAAATCAACAGGGGCCAAGAGCAAGGAGGTGCAACTCCGAGTCCTCGGCCTGTGTGGGGAGATAGGACTTACAGTGGACACAGGAACAGCAGGCTGAGCCGCCGTACAAAGCACCCTGGTGGCTCAGACTGTGAGGATCGCGTTTCCAGGACAGCTGCCACACCCAGGCAGATGCGAGTGCTGTGCACACCATGCTGGGCCCAGCACCAGGGCCTGCCCAGTCACCTGGCACTGCAGCCTGTCCAGGCCTTCAGGCAGGACCTTCCCCCAGGGGACAGAGAGCTCCATGAACCCTCACAGGCAGGTCTCAGCACTCACCACATGCTCCACGGAGGCCCCTCTCCGGAGGATGATGGCGTCTGTGAAGTCCGGCCGCTCTGCACGGGTAGAGACGGGGCGGGGGTGAAGCAGTCATGGCCCCACGCTATGTGGTTCCTTCCCAAAGGGAAAGAGGCCCTTCCAGGCTCCAGCCTTGGGCTAGCCTCCCCCTTTTTTAGCATAACCTCATTGTAGAGCCCCATGCAATCTCCTACAACCTTGACCTTAATACAGATAAAAATAAATCCAAGTCCAGGATTCAAACTGCCTGCATCCCAGTCAGCCAGGAGAGCCCCAGCTGAGCCCCGTGAAGCACCTGGAAAGTACTGGCAAGACTGACAGCTGCAGCATCCAGTCAGGGACAGCTACACAGCTGCCCTTGCTTACAAGGTCAAGGTCAATGAAAACTGCCAGAACTCAGCAGCTAGGTCCCTGTGAGTGTAAGGGATGGGGCATGGAAAAGCTCTTGTACACGCAGTCACCTACAGTCCTGACGAGGAGCCTGCCACTGCTGGGGGAAGTCGGAGGGGTTATTGCTGTAGCTGTGGGGACTCAAGAGCAGCTTCTATCCCACTGCCCCTCCCCCGGCCCCACCAGGGCACCCTCAAGACTAGTAGCCCCAGAATTTGGCATTCTTGGTCACAAGGGCTCAGGCTGAGGTCTCTACCAGCCTGGAGCAGAGGTCAGTGCCAGCTCTGAGAAGGGAGAAGGGTGGAGACACAGCTGGGCTCTGGGGGGAGGAGGGGCCGATTCTTGGCTGAGGCTGCTCCACTCACGTCCTCTCTTCTTGGTGTAGATGCAGGTCAGAGCCAGGTATTCCCAGAGCATTTCCAGCAAATAGTCCAGGTTCAGCTTCATGCCACAGCTGCCAGGGAGGAAGGGGGCAGTCAGAAGGGCCCAGGGAGCGCTCTCTCACTATGGCAAGGACAACTCCACCTGGCTGGGCACGGGCACCAAGGCACGTGGCCCCCTGGAGCCTGTGAGCACCAAGTTCCAGGCGGTGGCCGCGTGATCTCCAGCCACTGCCTCTAGTCAGCAATCAGACCCGCCAGCAGGGCGCAGCGTCTCCCGGGGCCACAGCTGCCCCTGCATTTGACACAGGGCCTGCTGTGTGGGACTGGTGCGGGGCTGGGCTGGGCTGGAGGACAGAGGGCTATCCATAGCTTGCCTCCTCCTGAGAGGTGGGAGGGGCTTCCAAGTGCCCAGGGCAGCCCCGCAGGGATTTGAGCACCAGGGGCCGGGGTGGGGCTGGCTGTGGCCACTGGCGCTGTCTCAGCTGCACCGATCCTGCCTGATGAGCAGGTAACCATGCTCTCACAGCCCAGGCGGGCGTAGGGTGCCTGAGTGTAGCAGGAGGTGGAGAGGAGCCGAGCTGTTCTAGGGAGGGAGGTGGCTTTGCTGCTCTTTGCAGCAGCTGGCAATGCCCAGGACATGGTCCTCGTAGCACTTGCATCCCACCATTTGCACAGTCACCCCCACCTGGTCGCTGAGCGTCTTCCTCCCCATAAGCTAAGCCCCACTGTGAAGCTACAGAGCACCTTGTTTGAGATGGGAAACCAGCAACATGGAAGCCACGAGTCAGTGATGACAGGAAGTGAGTGCAGGAGGCCCCGGAACCCATCCCTCAAGGACAGCGAGCCACGGTCCAGGATGGCTATGTCCACCTCATAACTCAGCTCCCTTCCCCCCTGCTGTGCTGAGCGCCACGTCATCCCAGTGTCAGGAGCACTGGCTTACTGTGGGCTTCCTGGGGACTAAGTGTGACTTCTACATTATGGAGACTCTTGGCCATTCTTAACCACGTCCCCTGATGGACAAAATACGTTTTCTTAACCAGAACCCACCCACGTTACCCACCCTGCCCCTGCCATCAGGTGGGACTGAGCCAAGGTCACCAGCAATGGGGAGGGTCTCCTCTGCCGGCTGTGCGGGGGAGAGGAGGGAGGCGGCAGGGAGGCCTCAGGATGGGCTCACCCCCAGAAAGGACGGCAAGCCTCACCTGATGACCACGCTGTTGGGTTTCCGGGCCAGGCGATCCACTTCTTCCATCGAGATCTGGTCAATTTTGTTATAAACCTGGATGGAAGACGGAGGCGGTGATGGGGACGGAAAGAGACAGAGGACAGGAAAGGGCCCCATGTGGCCACAGCCCTGAGGCTCCTCCCTCTTCACACCACGATCAGGGCTGAGGCGGAGCAATGGTGCGGAGAGCTGAAAGGGACAGGCTGGCCAGAACCCGCCAGTGAGATGTGTGCGGCAGAGGGGAGGAGGGTGGAGACTGCTCTGTGCCTCGCAGAAGCCGCCTGGGGCCAGGCGCCCCCCAGGGCAGGGCGGGACTGTGCACTTACATACAAGCAGGGCATGTACACCCGGTTGCCCACGATCACGTCGATGAACTCGTCTGGGGAGCAGTCCTCTCGGAAGAGCACTTCGGCATTGAAGATCTCTGGGGGCACGGGTCAAGGGCAGTGTGCGCTAGCGGCCCCTGGTGCCTAGCCAGGGAGGGCCCGAGACAGCCATCAGGGAACAGACTGGCCAAAGGGACCTGGGAGGCCCTCTCTGCTCGCACGGTTTTATAAGATTTTTAAAGTCTGGGGAGCCCCACCTTCTTTTCAAAAGAAGCCGCAATACGTAAAAGCTCCAATCACCAGTTCAAATCTTCAAGTCTGCTTGCCAGAACCCCGAGCGCCTCAGGGAGCCGGCGTCAGTGCCAGGAGCAGCCGAGGGCCTGGCCTCTCACGGCCCCTCTCCCCTGTTCATCCTGCCTCCGTCACACCTCCAGGGAGGGGACTAGGCCGCGCCACCTCGAAGGGGCCGTTTCCTCATGAGCTTTCCGTGCTGAGCTCGCCTCTGCCTCTGCTGTCCTGTCCTCTGGTCCCCAAGCCCGCCTGTCCCCCAACAATGCTTAGCGGGTGTGCACAGGCCCCAGGTCTCCGCGGCTCTTCCAGAGCGGGAGCCGTTTTCCTCGCTGTCTCATCACCCGCCCAGAGGGGACCGGCTCCGCAGCACCAGCAGCCGTCCAGCAGCCGGAGACCGGTCCACGCGCAGCCGCCTGCAAGCCCGGATCGTCGAGAGGGGAGGCGGAGGCAGGTGGCACCCATGCTGCGGCGGCAGCTTTCTCAGAGCCCGTTCAGGGCGTCAGGCCTGGGAGTCTGCTGTGACCCGGGCCCAGGCCTCAGGCTCCGGAGGCCCGGCATCTCCTTCGGGAAGGATACTGTACTCGTGCAGGATCAGCTGCACCAGCTTTTCCGAGCACTGGGTGAGCGTGACTGTAGAGTTAAAGGAGATGCCACCGCCTTTCTTGGGCTGGAGAAGGGAGAGCTGCTGAAGGGTCGGCTGCAACTGCCCACAGGCTCAGATCCTGCCCAATGCAGTGCACACACCACCGCCCTGCCCTGCCCTGCCCCGCCCCGCAGCCCGCAGCGAGGGGCCTTACCTTGAAGTAGATGTTAGGCTTGTGCTTGTTGAGGCGGATGCCCACCGACTCCAGTTCCTTCTCCAGCAGAGACCTGTGCAGAGCCCCCATGCGCCTTCACAGGTGCCCAGAGGCAGGCTGCGCAGCTTCCATGGACAAAGGAAGCCCCTCCCACCCAGTCCCACACCCTCCTCTACGCGCCCCATGCAACCTGGCCTTCCTTCCCAACGACCCTGGGCTGCCGAGGGTCCTCTGGGCCCCGCCTAGTCCATGGCAGCCCGGCCAGGTCTGCAGTCCCCGGGCAGAGGCCGGGCATGAGCAAGGGTTGTTACTTGGGGCTGGACTTCTGGCAGCGACTAGGCCACTGGCTTCCGCAAACAGGAGCCAGAACCAGGCCACGCTCCTTAGGCCGTGAATGGCCAATGTGGCCGGGACTCTGGCTACGAGCTCCAGCCCCGATGCTGGAGGCGAGCCTCCTGGAGAGGACGCACCAGGCGGAGAACACGGGGTCAGCCGTGGACAGTCCTGCTGCTACTGCCACGCAACAGGGCCCAGCACCACTCAGACCGTCCACCACGAGCTCCAGGGCCTTCCCAGACACGCCAGCCTGCCCCCCTATCCCACCCCGCGGACCTCTGCACCTCTCCCTTGGTGGCATCCAGCATCATGATGACGACATCAGCTGTGCGTGCCACAGCAATCACCTGCCGGCCACGGCCTTTCCCTGGACAGGCAGAAGGGTCACAGTGACACAGAGACAGGCAGGCCCCATGTGACCCCCACCTACCCCACAGCACCCAGACTCCTGTCCTTCACAGACCTGCCATGGGGTCTGCCACCTGCCACCTCCCAGGCTAGGGTTTCTTTGGCATTTTTCTTTGAGATGCTCTCTTACTGTGGAGACTTGTTTCATAAGAAAATTCAGCATCACCTCCTTAGGAGGGTGACATCCTCCCCCAGGCCCTGTGCTAAGAGCTTCATTTACTCATTTGATCCTCAAAACTATCCCATATGATTGGTGCTATCATGCCCATCTTACAGATGAGAAAACTGAGGCTTGGCTTAGACACAAAGCAGCATGGTGCCAGGACTTGACCCTATCTGCCCTGTCAGGAAAACAGGGCGACAGGAGGCCCACCCGGGCAGCAGGGTCACAGGAGACCACCCAGGAGGAGGTGCCTCAGGGGTGGCCAGGCCTCGTTAGTACCAGATGACCGAAGACGTCAGGGTCCTCACCAGGGCCAACGTTGGGGACCAAAGCTGCAAGGCCCTATGCAGTGTGGTTTCACTATGCCCTGCCCCCTCTTCTGAGAACCAGGTGACCCGCTCCCCAACTGCCTCTTGCCTCCAGCCGGTGCACTTCCCACAGGTGGCCGGGCCACCCAGGCCCCTCATATGCTGGCTGGGATGGCATGGGGACCACCACCACCATCACCACCACAAAACTCAAACCTGCAGGACCTCAGTGCCATGGTGACGGCAGGGCAGGGGAAGGCACTAGGAGAGATGGTACTGGACACTAGGGAGGAGGCCCACTGCCAGCCCACGCAGGCTGCAAGCAGGCAACTCCATCCCACCTGCCACTCAGCAGCTGAATAGTCAACGAGGCAGACCTAGCTCGCTGCCCCAGCACCCCTCCTGTCTATGGAAAGGAAATGAGGCACTCCCCAAGCCAAGGGCTGTCTGAGCATTAAGTGGGATAATGGTCAGCACAGAGCCCAGAGTTTAGAAGTGCTGAATAGCCAGCAGCTGTAACCATCACTGCAAATACTGGATGTAGCCACCTGCCACCAGAAGCATAGGCATATCTCCATCTCAAAAAAGACCCCCAAAACCTGAAACAACAATAACAACAACAAAAACACCCCAGGCTGAAACCGGTTTGGCTCAGTGGAGAGAGCATTGGCCTGTGGACTGAAAGGTCCCAGGTTCAATTCCGGTCAAGGGCATGTACCTTGGTTGCGGGCACATCCCCAGTAGGGGGCGTGCAAGAGGCAGCTGATTGATGTCTCTCTCATCGACGTTTCTAACTCTCTATCCCTCTCTGTGAAAAATCAATAACATACATTTAAAACAAAATAAAACAAACAAAAAAAACGAAACAACACAGGACAGAACTAAGAGCACAGGCTGAGAGGGCCCATCCCTCCCAGGGCAGCGGAGCACGGGGAGGGAAGTGGGGTAGAGCCTGCCTGGTGAGCTGTGCGACCTTGGCAAGTCATTTCCCTGCCTCAGTCTCCTCAGCTTTAAGATGGGTCTCTCAGGACAGTAAGGGGCCAATCCCTTAAGCACAGCACTGAGCACTGCGGATTGTGAGCCCCACCCGCCACCCCTCAACAGCCAACCCAACTCTAATAGTGAGGTCTGCTGCATCCTGAGCAGGAGGGCCCCTGGGAGCCCCGCTCGCACCTTGTGCTGCGCCTTCGATGATTCCAGGAAGGTCCAAGAGCTGGATGTTGGCTCCTTTGTACTAGGATGAGAAGGGAGGACGGTGAGGGGAGGAGGGCCACTGGGCAGGGTCTACTTGAACGCAGGACCCCACAACAGCCTGCAGCGAGGGGCTGCTGAACCCCAGGCCAGCCTCCATGGCCATGTCTGAGCCTCCTCACTCACTGTGAGCTGAGCCACCTAGAGGAGAGCTCTACTCTACAACCCACAACACTCCTCCCGATGGCGACAGCACTTCACAGACACCGTGCTTCCCCGGGAGGCTCCAGGCCAGAACCCGGCCGCACGCTCCGAAGCTTCACAGGAAACTGGATCCAGCCCCGCAGAAACAAGTGATGGGCTGGGGGCGCGGCAGCGGAGATCTGCACACACTGGCCTGTCCCGGCACCAGCTGGTGTCACAGGATGGGCCGGGCATCTCTGGGGTCTGAGCAGCCAGGATCCCCGGAGGCGCCAGCGCCAGGGCACACCGGCTCAGGACACACACACACAACTGGAAACACAAGCACACGCCCTTCCCCTCCTGCGATTCAGCCAACTCCTACTTACCTCAATGACCCCTGGGATACACGTCAGGGTTGTGAATTCATAGGATGCAGCTTCGCTGGCTGTGGAGGTCATTAGACTCAAGAAGGTAGACTAGGAGAAAAAGCAAGTCATTGCATAAGTCTTGTCCCACCCCCCTGGAGAAGCCCATGGGCTGTAGGCAGCGGGAGACCCCCTCCCCCGTTAGTGACGGGGACACGGGAAGGAGACTAGCTGGAATGCTGTCTGGCCCCGCCAAGGTGGAGATGGCACCAGAGGACTCTCTGCTCCTCGGTGGCCCAAGTCTCTCTCAGGTGGACACAGGGACCTCTTCTCAGTAGGTTCTTCCTTAAATCAGGGGCCACTCCCAGCTCCACAAAACCCTCACCCGGGGCCCAGAGACTTCACACAGGTGACAGCCACGGCACTCAGAGTGGCTGCTCCCGGGCGAGGCGAGATGTGCCGGGAGATCCTGACCTTTGGGTTCAGACAAAGCCCGGCGAGAGGAAGGGGTGAGTGGAAAGAGCCTGGGTGGAACCCTTATGCCATGGTCCGCTGTGGGAATGGGGCTGCCGCTTGGCTAGGAGACAGAGAGGCCTTGGCCCCCGCCTCTGCTGGGGGACCCTGGGCAAGAAACTACATCCTCTAAGCTTCAGCGTCCTCACATGTAGAGTGGGCATCCACTCCATCTCTTTCTTTCTTTCTTTTTCTTTTTTTTTTAATATATATATTTTATTGATTTTGTACAGAGAGGAAGGGAGAGAGACAGAGAGTTAGAAACATCAATGAGAGAGAGTCATCGATCAGCTGCCTCTTGCACACCCCCTACTGGGGATATGCCCGCAACCAAGGTACATGCCCTTGACCGGAATTGAACCCAGGACCCTTCAGTCCCCAAGCTGAAGCTCTATCCATTGAGCCAAACTGGTCTCCACTCCATCTCTTTCTTGAGATACTTCATGGGGATCAATAGAGATGATAAGGCACGTGGTCTACTGAGTCCGGGGCACTGTGCTGGATACAAGGCCCAGAACACAAGCTAAGCTGTGGGCAGCACCAGAGAAAACCCAGCCCTGGCCGCAGGCGCCCATCTGGTCAGCACGGCACCTGAAACAAGCCTGGGACGCAGTTCTGACTGGACAGTGCTGCCTAGATCTGGAACCGGTGCCCTCTGGACTCTGCCCCTCGCTGGCAGGCAGGAAGGCTGGGGCACACCTCCCTCACACACCCTCAGACGGAAACCTAGAATGGGCCATGTGAAGGAAACGCAGCCTCAAATCCAGAAACTCTGCCCTGGGGACCTCCTGAAGGTGGGTGGTGGGGGACAGAGCAATGGAGCAATGGCCCCGAGACACCGAATGGCCCTGAACTCCTAGCAGGCGGCGGGATCTGGCCACAGGTCCCAGACTCCAAGGGGCACGGACCTTGGAAACTGGAGTGACTTCTCTCAGCCTGAGCTTCTCACCTGGAAAGGAAGTCTTTGGTGGATGGAAAGTAAAGTGGAAAGAAAAGACAGAATTAATGAGCCCATAAGAACTGAAGAGCTGAAGCCTGGAATCCTCACGTGTCACTGCGGGCCAGCTGCGAGCCAGCAGCGGCCCTCCTTTCCAGGTGCAACTTCCTCAGAGGAACCAGATGCCCCCGGGAGGGAGCTGCTACTTACAAGGCACGTGAGCTACCAAGTGAGGAAGGAGAGAGAACTGGAAACAGCTACTCACAAACACTCCTAAGACCCGGCAAGGACAGGTGTCTGGGCCCAGCCACAAAGGATGCTGACCGGGCAGATTTCTGCGAGCTGCCCAGCAGCGCACTGCAGGTGACTGCCCGGTGTTCTGGCACGGGGGGACACAGCCCGGTGATCTGGCACGGGGGAACACAGCCCGGTGTTCTGGCATGGGGGAACACAGCCCGGTGTTCTGGCACGGGGGAACACTGCCCGGTGTTCTGGCATGGGGGACACAGCCACACGGGGGGACACAGGGTGCGCTCCCCTTAGTGCAGTGGCCCTGGACACGCAGCTAGCCCTCGGGGTTTCAGCCATGCCCATCATCCACTCATGAACCTGGCCAGCTCCCGGGAAACAGCCATCGGACCAGCGGCAGTGCACCGTGAGGGAGGAAGCAAGCAGATCCCGGAGCACAAACATTCCAACAGGCAACGGCCTGGTCTCTTTGGCGAGGCAGGGTCCTGACAAAGGGGCTGGTCTGGGTAAAGCAGCCTTCGTGACCACACACGGGGCTACATGTGGCCAGAGCGGACCCCAGTTTAGGAAGACCAGCTGAATGGTCATTTTGGATAACTACTGATTGAAATATAGTCTGGCCATTAGATGATCATTGGGTCACTGTTCATTTTGTTTGGTATGCTATGCCAGTTTGTGGCTAAGCAGGACATTTTTCTTACTTACTGGAGATACAAGCTTAAACATTTAGAGGCGGAGGGCCATAAAGCATGACATCTGTAACTTACTCCCAAATGGTTCAGTCAAACCAACCCCCTCCCCCCAACACACACAGAGAGAGCAATATGGCAAAATGCCAGAGAGAGGGCAGACTATACTTGTTTTTCCACCTCTTGTACCTGTTTGACATTTCTATTATACAGAATTGGGGAAAATAAAAAAGACAGGGACCTGGATTGGATGCCAGGATTGAAGCCTGTGAGGCACTGAGCCTGCAGTGGAGCGAGGTCTGCTCCTTCTGAGGGGCTGGAGTGGAAGGCCCCTGAGCGGCTCTGTGTCTGGCTTTTGTGAAGTTGGGGAGTCAGGAACACCCCACCACTAAAGGAATTTGAGGCCCTAGTTGGTTTGGCTCTGGTGGATAGAGCCTCAGCCTGTGAACTGAAGAGTCCCAGGTTCAATTCCAGTCATGGGCACATGCCTGGGTGTGGGTTCGATCCCCAGTACGGGACATGCAGGAGGCAGCCAATCATTGATTCTCTCTTATCTCTGATGTTTCTATCTCTGTCCTCTCTCTCCCTTCCTCTCTGAAATCATAAAAGTATATTTAAAAAATAAAAATAAAAATAAAAATAAAGGAATTTGAGCGCAGGCTGGAAAGCTGCTCAGACTTTATGGAAGGAATGAACTGCCAAAGGCTTGAAGGAATAGGAGCTGCAGATAAAAGCTTCCAGTCCATTCTACCTGATTCAGATAACATGGCACTGTATTTCCCAACCCCATACCACTGGAGGACAGGAGAAAAGGACAGTGAAATCCAGCTGGGGTATGTGCCTGCAGACTAACAAGCACTTAGATGCACCAGGAAGGAATCCTTCTGCAGGTTCTGCAGCAGAGCCTGGTCTTGGTCCAGCCTACACCCGCACCAGCCCGCACATCCCAGCTCAGACACAGCACTGTGGAGAGGGTACAGCAGAAAGCCTAGAACACGTTCCCATCGATCCCCAGATAGAGTCAGCTGGAGTTTCCTTGGTTGGCCAGGCTGAGGGCTGCTTTAAAAACCCTGAAGCCGGAGCCGCTGTGCCTATGCCTAGGATCGCTTCCTGCAGAAACACCTGTTCCAGAGCAAAGCGGCGAGCAAAGAGCATTTACCACAGCACCGTGGGCTGCAACCAAAGCCTGGGCGGCTGGCCACAACCATGGGGGGGTGGGGGGGGGGTTATCACATGACCATAACATGGTGTTCCAGGCAACAGTTCAGAGATGAGGGGATATACAAGATGAGCCTGAAGCATTTTGCAGTATCAGAAGTGCTGAATAAACACAACAGGAGTTTGTCAAAAAGCCAACTGAAACAGCTAGAAAAATCTGAGTAACATTAGAACCCGAGTATACAACAAATTCCCACGAATCCACACGGATACAAACATATGATTCAGCTGCAGCATGGTGGTCCCTCCTTTGGAAAACTGCTGTTTGAACTACTCTGTTATTTTTAGATGGTCTCTTATTCTATAAAATATAACTTTGTTTTTAGCTTGAATAATAGAAAAGATAAACTTAACTGTCTGAACTTGCAAGCTAGCCATCTAAAAGGGCTGATACACTGATACTGATATTAATTCACATATTCTGCCAAGTGTTTGTTCACCCAAGGTTACAGGTGTCTATATAGATATGATATGTACTCAAAGTTATGAGTTGTCTGTATAGATATGACAGGTGTTTGATTAGATATAATACGTACTCAAACTTACAAGTTGGCTGTATAGAGATGACAGGCGTTTCTTAGATACGATATGTATTCAAGGGTACAAGCTGTGTTACACAAAGAACTGGAAGGATATAAAGAGGAAACACTCCCTCCTGTGTTTGTTCGGGATGTGACAGAAAGTCTGCTCTGAACCTGCACACAAAGAAGAGGACTCCTAACCAACGGGCTCATTAGGCTCTTGTCCAGCGCGCTGACTTGAGATACAAAATAAAATGGGAGAGAAGAGACAAATCTCATGAATGAACTCTGAATAATTTGTGTAGCTCAAACAGGTGGACCTTACTCCTCCCCTTAGTGGGCTGCACACAGTGCCATCCCTTCTAAGAGGACACGCGAACCAGAGAAAAAGAGTGAGTTCACAGAGGAGAAACCTGACAAACTCGCCCTCACCAGGTGGTCAGGGTCAACATCAACTGATGATGTGAGAGAAACGGCACTTCTCTCCCGTGGCATTCCTCCCGCACGCCCATCTGTACATATAAAAGGCTAATCACAGTCTGAGCAGGAGACAAGGTCAGACAAACCCAGTGGAGAGACATTCTACAATAGCCCACTAGCACTCCTAAGATGGCCAGCCATCCAATCAAGGCCAGCCAAGGAGAGCCCAGAGGACAGGACCACTGAGTGCGACGCGGGCTCCGGGCAGAACAGAACCCTGCTCCAGCCGGGCGTGCGGCGTGAGGGAACTCTGTGCTGGCATGGCAACTTCTTTGTAAATCCTTGACTCTCAAAAAGCTGGGCAGCTCAGTCCCTTTTCTGCTCAAAACCCTTCCATGAGGTTTAACTTACTCCCCACTCAAATATTAAGTATGAATTTCACACTAAACTAAGAAGCTTACAGAAGAAACCTAAAAAACTCTGCAGTGGCTCCTGCTTCACCCTATTTCACTCAAGGCCAACGTTGTATGACGGCTCCAAGGTCACCCACCCTCTGTGATGTGTCTCCCACTGTGGCTCACTTAGACCTGGCTCCCTTAAACACAACAAGCCCCCCCACGGGCCTTTGTGCCCACTGCGCGCTGTCTGGGAGGTCCCTTCGCAGGGCCCTGCAAACTTCTGCACTACCTTCAGGCCTCTGCTCAAACCCCTGCTCACCAGGGCAGCCTTCGCCAATCCCAACCAGAAACTGGCAGGACCGCGGTCCCCACCCGCCATTAGCTGACTGTCTGTTCTCCTTGAGAGGGGAAGTCTGTGTGGGCAGGGACAGAACGCTCTCACTCCTGCTGCATCTCTAGCAGCTGGCACGCGGTGCACTCAATGAATGTGCACAACGGATTTGTCAGAGAAAGAATGCAGCTCTTTCTGCTAAAGCGGGAAGAAAGCTCTCCGTGTTAGGATGACACAGGGATGGGCCCGATTCTGGGGGAGGCTGCGTATTCTCTGTCCCTGGAGCTAATCCAGAGGGACGGGGAGAAGAGCCACAGTCACTCTGAAAGCAGACACTGCTTTCCTCCCCAAGGCCCACCATTACCATCACTGACCTTACCCACAGAGGGAAATCCGATCAGTGCCACACGGGCGTCGCCCGACTTCATGACATCGAAGCCCTCTCCTTTGGACGAAGCCGATTTGGATGGTTCCAGGAGCTGGGCCCGATACTTGGCCAGTTTTGCTTTCAGCAAGCCCAGGTGATATTCGGTGGCTAACGGAGAAAAAGCAAGACAGAAGGTAAATGTCTAAAGTATCCAAGCCCTCTGAGTCAAGTGGGGCTTCACACACCACCGAGTGCTAGCTGGGACTGTCAGACCCATGGCAACCCATGTGAAGATCAGGAGGGAAAAACACCATCCCTGTGCTGACAATGCCTCCTTGGTGTAGGGAGCGGCTACCGGGTTAAGCCTTGGACTGACCTGTTGGCAAAGCCACAAATAAGTCCCAGTTTAGAGGGCACAGCCCTCTCAGCATAATTAAGCCTGACCATATGACACTCCCTAGATCCTTCCTGGGTCGCTAATGGGCTGTGGGAGGTGCAGCAAATGCTGCCAAAACAAGTGAAGCTCATAAGAATATGATAACTATGGTGACCACTACTTTGTTTACTTCTGACTGTAAAGTTTACTTCAGCTTGCAGTCTGGATCTTTTCTGTGGCCTTAGCCAGGCACAGAAGATCCACCTAGATCCAGCTTATTCTCTTTGTATTTTCTTCATCCTTCACCAGCCCCCCTCAGGCTTGCTGAACCCTTGGTTGTGCTGGCATGGCATACCTTGGCTGCTCACTTCATCTGTATATGTAAAAGGCTAAGTGACTGTTCGACTGGTTGCTATGATGTGTACTGACCACTAGGGGGCAGACACTCATCTCAGGAGCTGCAGGGAGGCGCACTGGCCATTTAAAAACAAATGGCACCACAGACCCGGTGCCAACAAACCAACACTCGGCTTCCTCCAAGTGTGACACAGGCCCTGACACCACCCCAGAGTGACACCCCACCAAATCACAGCCAGTGCTGCCAAGACCCCAATACTCCATGGCGCAAAATGTGGCCCACAGCCCAGCCCAGAAAACTGTCACTGTGGGCGCCAGGCAATGAAGTCACATAGCAATGCCCGGCTTCTCCCTAGCAACTAGCCTTCTTGGAATTTCTTTAGCCCAGGAACACAACTTGCTTTATCGCCAGGTGCACACATTTCACAGTTTGACCAAATATTTGTGAAGCATTTTCACGTGCCTCATCTCATTTGACCCTCACGGAAGTCCTGGAGGACCCTGTTTCCCCGAAAATAAGACAGTGTCTTATATTATTTATTTCTCCCAAAGTTGTGCAGGTCTTATTTTCAGGGGATGTCTTATCTTTCCATGCGCTAGGTCTTATTTTCAGAGGATGTCTTATTTTCTGGGAAACACGGGTAGGTAGAAAAGAGGCTCAGTGGAATCCTATTTTCTTTTCATTAGCCAGAAAACGGAGATTTAGAAAGCTCAGAAACTTGACCCGACTGAAAAGAAGTAAGAAATGGTGGACTTTGAAAATGACTTCAGGTTTTCTCACTGCGCAGAATACAGTCAAACACTGCTGCAGTTACATATTTTACCCTTTGTTCTTCCTGCGTGATCTACAATAATAATTTGCTTCATGTTGATATTTACTGCTGTATTGCTAACAATTACCTGAAGAGAAGTTGGGGTGCTTCACTGGGCTGGAAAAGTTTGGCTGCATCAGAAAGCAGGTCTAATGAAGCAAGTCTGTTCTATATCTATAGGAGGCTAAGTTGACTTGCACATGTTCAATACACGAGTGTTCCAATCTGTCATTGTCGATCATGAATTTGGTTGACACTACTATTAAAAAGGGTGAATAGCAATATTAAAATAGTTTTCTAATTAATTAATTTCCTTTCATTGTGCACAAATCTATTCACCGGGCCACTAGTCTTATATAATAAAACCCTAATATGCAAATCGACCGAATAGCGGAATAACTGATATCTATGAAGCACACTGACCACCAGGGAACACCAGGGGGCAGGTGCTCAACGCAGGAGCTGCTTTCTGGTGGTCAGAGCGTTCTCACAGGGGAAGAACGGCTCAACCAGAAGCTGGGCTCATGGCTGGTGAGTGCATGAGAATGAACAAGCCTTCTGTCAAAGAACATTTTAGACAGCCGCCATTTTGGACTGCAGGACTCTTCAGCCACCATGTTGGCCACATGGCTTGCAGCTTCCCTGAGGGCAGCCATCTTAGAACAGCAAAGGCCAACCCCTCCCTTTGAATTAGTCAATTGCAAAAGACTGCGCCTGAGTTCCAATCAAGACCAAGGGATAGCCGAAACCAGTTTGGCTCAGTGGACAGAGCATCGATCTGTGGACTGAAGGATCCCAGGTTCGATTCTGGTCAAGAACATGTACCTTGGTTGTAGGCACATCCCGTTAGGGGGTGTGTAGAAGGCAGCTAGTCGATGTTTCTCTCTCATCAATGTTTCTAGCTCTCTAATTCCTCTCCCTTCCTCTATGTAAAAAAATCAATAAAATATATTTTTAATGATAAAAAAAAGAGTAAGGGACAGGTCACGTGGGTCAGGGGTTATAAAGCCGAGCAGACGGCTCTGTGCGCATGCTTCCAGGCCATGTGTGTGCACCCTTCTATGTAGAAGTAAAGATGTTTCACCTTGCTGCCTGGCTCCCAAGTATGTTTTGTGTTCCACCAGGACCCCTGACTTGGGAGGCTCACCTTATTTCTAACAAGTGCAGCAGTGGTGGCAGAAGCCTCTGCCACCTCCATGGCAGCGTTAAGGACCCGTTGGGGGTACTGGACTGCGAGAGGGCTCAGGGACACCCCCGCCCCTGCCAGTGCATGAATGTTGTGCACCAGGCCTCTAGTTTATAATAAAAGTGAGTCTCCTTATTGAGGCTTCGAGACCCCATGTCAGTGGTTCTCAGTGAATCCAGCAACACACCCTGAGGGTTTTCTAGAAATTCCTAGGGATGTTTTCCATTGTCATTCTGATGGTGAAGCCAACTGCCCTACCAGGTGCGAGTCAGCCTAGCACAGTCAAGAGTTGTTTTGTGTCCCACATGACTTTTCATGTCCCAAGGACATCCAAAGAGAAAACCTGGTTATGGTCACAGGAGCCTGAAATCTAACTGCTTCACACACGCGCACACACAGGGATTTTCTGCAGTGTGAATACACGCTGAAATTTCCAGGAATGAACTCCTGTGCGTGTTCAGGGAAGACTATGGCATGTTTTATTTGAAACTTTACCTAAAGCAGCTCACCATCTTGGGATTCTATGCCACCAACAGTGAACCCCCTTGCAGGGAGGCACTAACACAATATACCTGCACTGCCAGCACTGTGTTGGCCACACCCCATTCTACCCAGAGGTACAAGCTTCATTATCACTTCATTATAACTTGGCTGTGGCCCAACATTTGCATATTGAAATACACAGTATTTTTATTATAAATTACTTTCCCTTTCCCCCTCCTTTATATTACTATTAGGGCATTATATTGATATTTTTCAAATCCTTTGTGTATGAAAGTTATACTATCAATGGGGAATCACATTTCAGAACAGTAAAAAGGGTATTTCAAAGTCTTTACTATAAACAGAAGCTGGGACTGACATAAGACGCAGGGCCCTAGGTGATCTGGTCCCCGGCTACTTCAACATCTCTCACCACTCCACTTTTATTTACACACTCCAGCCACAGCGGCTTTCTCAGCACATGCTGACCCCTTCCTGCCTCTGGCCTTTGCACTTGCTATTCCTTCCATTTAAACTTTATCTCTGCAGGGCTCACTCCTTCTCAACATTCAAGGCTCAGCTCAAATGTCACCTCTTCAAGAAAGTCTCCCTACCAGTCTTGGGACAGTGTCACCCAGAGGTCCACCCTGCTGTCTCTGGCCATTTTGCTTTGGGTAAATTACTTAGTCTCCTTGTGCATTAGTTTCTTAACCTGCAAAATAACTACTTCACCTGATTTCTATAAGAAAGCACTAAGAACATGTCTAGCACATAGTAAGCACCCAATAAAAGTCAGTGATTATTACTATCTACAGTAACCCACTTCTCTAGTCGCTCTGCCTCGGTCCTAATTATTGTCTGCATGGCTCCTATCACCATTCAAAACCGTCTTGCTTCTTTAGTTCCCCCTCTAACAGGGCAGGGACTGGGACTGCCGAAGTTGTATCCTCAGCTTCTCGCACAGGGTACGTACAGGGCAAGCGCTCAGGAAATGTTTTAATAAGCAAATGAGTGAACTGGTGACATTGAGAAATGGTCAAGAATGGGTTCAGCAGTAGTCAGGTGGACATGGTCCTTCCTGTCATCCCAGCTCATCAGATTCTGAGCATCCCTGAAAGGAAGGACTAGATCTTAACCACCTCCACTGTCCTTCCCCACCACTGCTTAGCGGGCATCTCTCGCCTCCCCTAAGCCTCCCTGCTCCTTTGCGTCCAGTAGATGATACTCCACTGGGAAGCCAGAGAGGGAATTCTACAAACAGAAATCAGACTCTCCTGCTTACACCCTCCATGAGCTCTTACTGCCCTCGGAACACAAGTCAGACTTGGCCCAGGACTACACGGTGCTCCATGACTGGCCTCTCCTTTCCCATCACTGCACCCAGGCCCAGATCTTTCCATCCTTAAACACACTAGTGTCCTGCCTGCTGCCTTTGCACCAACTGTTCCCTCTGCGTGCACAAATGCTGGTCTCCGCTCACATGTTCCCTCCTCGTGGTCTTTTCCGATCAGTCCCCACTCCTAACACTCTATTTTGTCTTCACAGAATTTATTGCTGAAATTGTCTTATTTATTTACTGCTGTACAGACTGTCCACTGGGAGGTCAGCTCCACGAGGTCATGGATGCCACGCAGCAAGCACTCAGGAAAGATTTGCAGAATGAACACATGATAGACGCTCCCCAACTCCTTAGTCTTCAGAACTAAATGGAGCCATGGAGGAGAGGTCGGCCACCCAGCATTCCTTGCTTCTTGCTCCTGCAACCCCACAGCAGGTCCAGCTGGGCCCTGGGCCTTACCACCTTCACCAACCGTATTCCCCATTGATTCCAGACCCCCCTTCCGATCTAGACTGTTCTCTCTGTCCCATGAATACAGCGTGCTCAGAGGCTCCCTTGCCTTTGCCCCCCACCTGGAATACCTTCCCTCCCCCAGCTCCAGGCCCACCTCCTCCTGGAAGCCGTCTAGGTATCACTTTCTTGTCTTCTCACCTTTGAGCTCCTCTGGCCCTTACAATCTGAAGCCCAGATGGGATGCTTCATTACGTGCTTTCTGTAGGTTTTCTGTCCACACGGGGTGCTGGCCATGCGCCTGGTGCTCTGCACACGCTACCTAGTGTAACTCAGCTGCGAGCGAGCACGTGGGGAGGGGGTTCTCTGTGGGCAGATGAGGACCCTGAGGCTAAAGGAGGTGAAATGACTTTCCACGGCTTCACAGCAGGTAAGGGGTGGGGCCAGAGTTCAAAGCCAGGCCCGCCCGAAGCCGGAATCCAGACGCCTCCTCTAGCCACCCAGGTCTCCGGCTGCGGGTGAGTTTATGTGAGAGGTCACCCCCAGACTTCCCAGCACAAAAGGGGAGAGCGCCAACGCCCCGAGGCCGGCCCCGGGGAAGCCGGGTTCCAGCCCTGGCCCCGCCTCTGGGTCAGACTCAGGCGCTGTGGCTGTGTTTCTCCGCTCGGTCTCTACTGTCACCGCCTGCCTGGCTCTGAGCAGCTCTCCCGGGGTCGTTGGCCGTCAGCCGGCGCGGGGCCCGGCCCGCCCGGCCCCTCCCGCCCGGGCGCCGGCAGCGCTGCTCCGCGGCCCGGCAGGCCCAGCACTGCGCGGGCGGCCCCATCGCACCGACAGCAACGCGGAGGCGGAGGCCCCGGCGGCCACGCTCACCCTTGTTCTTCTGCGTCCGCGCGATCTCCTTCTCGATCTCCGATATCTTCTCCAGGATCCCCATGGCCGCGCTCTGCTGGGGCGCCCGGACCCCGCGGCGCTTCCTCCAGCCCGGCCCGCGCGGCCTGCAGCGTGCGCCCGGAAGCCTGTGCCCGGAAGCCTGCGGGTTACGGCGTCCGCCGGCGCTCGGCCGTTCCGAGTCCGGGCGGGCCACGTGGAGCGGAGTGCCCGACGCTATTGGTTCCGCCCTCTGGGCTGGGAGCCCTGGGAGACACACACTGGGCCGGGAAGGGAAGGGAAGGGAAGGGAAGGGAGGGGAGCGAGGGGGGGGGGGGGCGTGGGGGGGGCGGGTCGGGCATGGGAGACGGAGGGAATCTTCGAGGATCAACTCTAACCGGACGTAAAGAAAAGAAGCCGAGCTCTTATTCTACGTGGAGGTTAAAGTGGGTCCCCCTTACCACATTAACCAAGTGCCAACCTTAGCCCTCCTCTCCACCATCAGATACCTCCTGATGCGATGCAGTGTGAAGTACACATTTCCTATGTGGAATTCTTGGAAAAAAAAAAAAAAACACAAAAAAACAACCGTTGTATTTGAATTTAGAAACAAGAAAACATAAGACAAATCTAGAAAGTGGTGCATTTTGTAAAACAAGTGGCCTGAGATCTTCAAAATTGTAAATGACCTGGGGAAGGAGAAGGAGGCTGTTCTAGATTAAAATAGCCTATATAATAAAAGCCCAAAATCCACTGAACTGAGGAACAACCCGGGAACGACCTTTGCTACGACAGGCACTGACCACCAGGGGGCAGACACTCAATGCAGGAGCTGCCCCCAGCTCGCAGGCCCCAATTGGCAGTGGTGGGGTGTGCCTAAATTCTGGTTGAAAAATTTAAAAGCAGCTATAAAAAGTGGGACAGTTGGGGGAACTTTAACTTTGGATAAGATATTGGATATTATGGAGTAACTGCTAATTTTCCTGGTGTGATGATGTAGGAGATGTTTTTGTTATTAGCAGATGCATGCTGTGGTATTCAGGGGTTTGCTCAGGCAAACATAACAAAATGCCACGCGTTGGGTGGCTTAAACAACAGAAACTTTCTCAGTTTTGGAGATTGGAAGTCCAAGATGGGGGTACTTAGTGTGTGGTTGGGTTTTCATAATGGGATCAGTACCCTTATAACAGATGCCAGAGAGTTCTCTCTCCCTCTCTCTCTCTCTAACGCTCCACCTCCCTCCTTCTCTCCCTCTCTCCACACATTCAACAAGAAGGTGGCAGTCTGCAAGCCAGATAGAGGGCTCCTACCAAGCTCTGAGCTAAGTAGGGGCTTTTGTAATTTTGAGTTTGCATTCTCACCCACATTTTACAAACTGAAGTTACAAGCTTGCAAAAGAGCCTGGTGTGGTGGCTCAGCTGTTCAATCAGGAGGCTGAGATTCAAAGCAAGAGTTTTCAATGCCAAGCCCCGTGGTCCCTAAAGTAATTTGGTCGAGCGTGGATAGGAATGTTTACATATAAGCTTTCTGTAAGGTTAAAGATGATAGGAACGTGCTCTGGGACTAGGGAAGTACAGGCCGTGTGGGGGCCTGTAAGAGCCCTGGCCCAGAAGTGGATCTCTAACTCCTTTCTGCGCCCAAATGCTACATGACTTGGATTCCCGAGCTCCACTTACTGCCGCACTTGTGCCCACAGAAGTGTGTTCACTTCCAGTTTTTGTTTGAGGCGTATGACTCACCTTCCCAGAGTTCTGGCCTCTCCGCTATTGTACTGATTCAGTAGCAGTCCCCAGGGGCTTCACAAGCAACGTGGGGCTGTGCCTGCTTCAAGAGTTATGGAGCTTTGGAGCTTATGGAGCTTTCTCAGTCACCTGGCCTTTCCTGCTTTGAGGGGCTGGGTCCTCCAACCCAGACTCCGGGGCCAGCTGCGAGCCTTGTCTTCATGCTGTGAGCCTCGTCTTCATGCTGCCCAAGGAGCCTGAGGTGGGGGGCGGGTGCACAGACTTCTGGAGAGGCTGCCTTTGGTTGGGGCATCGGAAGTTGCAGCAGTACCGCCGTACCTGTGGTTTCAGTTACCTCGGATCATCTCAGTTCGAAATATGCATATTAAATGGAAAATTCCAGAAATAAGCTATTCCCGAGTTGTACATGGTGTGCCACTGAGCAGTGTGCCAAAACCCGGCACAATCCCACTCTCCCTCCGGGACATGAATCGTCTCCATGCCGCACACCTGCCAGTCACGTAGCCATCTCTACTCTGTTCTGGGGTGCACTGTGGTGGTGTTGCAGGTCACCCTTATTCTACTTAGTAATGGCCCCAAAGAGCAAGAGTAGCGATGCTGCCACTCATCTTCCACAGAGAAGCTGTGACGTGCTTCCTCCAGGGGAAGGTGTGTGTGTGTAGGAAAAAACAGTATATCAAGGCCTTGGTACCATCAGAGGTTTCAGCCATCCTCTGTGGGTCTTGAAATGTATCCCCGTGGATAAGGGGGTGGGCTACTATATTATCAACACAGCGAAAAGGCAACCCATGGAATGGGAGAAAATATTTGTAAATCATATATCTGATAAGGGGTTATTATCCAGGATATAGGAAGACCTAAAAGACAACAAAACAACACAATTTTTAAAATGTGCGAAGGACTTAAATAGATGCCCCAAAGACATACAAGTGGACAATAAGCACATGAAAAGGCACTCAACATCACTAATTAGGGATATGCAAATCCAAACTACAATAAGACATTACTTTACATCCATTAAGATGGCAATTATTTTATTTTAAAATATAGTTTTATTAGTTTCCAAGAGGAAGGGAGAGAGAGAGAGAGAGAGAGAGAGAGAGAGAGAGAGAGAGAGAGAGAGAATGATGAAAGAGAATCATTGATTGGCTGCCTCCTGCCTACCCTGCACTGGAAATGGAGCCTGCAATCCGCACATGTGCCCTTAGCCAGAATCGAACCCAGGACCCTTTAGTCTACAGGTTGATGCTCTATCCACTGAGCCAAACCAAATAATAGGCAGGATAGCTATTATTTTTAAAAAACACACAAAAGTTCTGGTGAGCCGAAACTGGTTTGGCTCAGTGGATAGCGTCGGTCTGTGGGCTGAAAGGTCCCAGGTTCGATTCCAGTCAAGGGCATGTACCTTGGTTGCGGGCACATCCCCGGTAGGGGGTATGCAGGAAGCAGCTGATTGATGTTTCTGGCTCTCTCTCTCTCTTCCTCTCTGTAAAAAAATCAATGAAATATATTTTTAAAAAACTTCTAGTGAAACTGCACTGTTGGTGGGAATGGAAAGTGGTGCAGCCACTGTAAAAAATAGTATGTAGGTTCCTCAGAAAATTAAAGATAGAATTAACATATGGTCCAGCAATTCCACTTTTGGGTATAAATGAAAGCAGGGTTTCAGAGAGATATCTGTACACCATGTTCACAGCAGCATATTCACAAGAGCATAGAACACTCAGGAGCAACCCAAGTGGCTGGCTGATGAATGGATGACAACATGATGTGTACATTCAGTGGAATATTATCTGCTTTAAAAAGGAAGAAAAATTCTGACACAGCCCTAGCCAGTTTGGCTCAGTGGATAGAACACTGGTCTGCAAACTGAAGGGTTCAAGGTACAATTCTGGCTAAGGGCACATGCCCAGATTGTGGGCTTGATCCCCAGTAGGGGGCATGCAGGAGGCATCATTGATGTTTCATGAAACATCTCATCATTGATGTTTCTATTTCTTCCTTTCCCTTCCTCTCTAAAATCAATTTAAAATTTTTTAAAAATTCTAACACAGGCTAAGTAAAGTCACAGAAGGGCAAATACTGTACAATTCCATTTATATGATGTACCCAGAGCCATCAAACACATAGAGACAGCTTATCAGGGCTGAGGAGGAAGAGAGGAGTTGGTGTTCAATTGGGACAGAATTTCCTGGTTGGCATGATGTTCTGGAGATGGATGGTGATGATAGAGGCACAACATTGTGAAATTACTCAATGCCACTGAATTGCCATTTTACTTATTTATTTTTAAAAAATACATTTTATTGATTTTTTTACAGAGAGGAAGAGAGAGGCATAGAGAGCTAGAAACATCGATAAGAGAGAATCATCATTGAATAGCTGCCTCCTGCACACCCCCTACTGGGGATGTGCCCACAACCAAGGTACATGCCCTTGACCGGAATAGAACCTGGGATCTTCCAGTCCGCAGGCCAACGCTCTATCCACTGAGCCAAACCAGTTTCAACTGAATTGCCACTTTAAAATGACTAAAGTGGTAAGTTTTATATTTTACCTCAATAAAAAACCTTGTCACATATGATAATATAAAATAATTTGCCTTTAAAACCCTCCCAAACCCTGTGACTGCTTTCCCTCTCGGTGATTTCTTGTTTATTTGCTTTTTCTAGAGCAAATTCTTCCAGCTGCCTGTTTTGTCTCTTTTCTCCTCCCTTCGCTCCTAAATCTGCTATGACCCCACTCTGCCCTACCATTGCATGGGAGCTGCTCTCAGCAAGGTCAGAGGGGACTGAACATAGCTGTCACTCATCTTCCGCGTCACTGACATCCTCTTCCTTCCCCAAAGTCCCTGTCAGCATGTGGCTCTCAGGACACAGCTCGCCCGCCACCTCTGACTTTGTTGGCTGTTCCTTCTGTCTCCACTGCTCAGTCCTCTTGCCCAGGAGTTGCTCATGTTGGAGGGCGGGCCCCTTCACCTACCCTCACCTTGGTGATCTCATTCTATCTGTGGTTTGCTTGTTTTTTAATAGATTTTTATTGATCTTTTTATAGAGAGGGAGAGGGATAGAAAGTTAGAAACATCGATGAGAGAGAAACACCAAGAAGCTGCCTCTTACACACCTGCAACCAAGGTTTATGCCCCTGATCAGAATTGAACTGGGGACCCTTCAGTCTGAGGGCAACCCTGTATCCACTGAGCCAAACCGGTCAGGGCCTATCTTGTGGTTTTAAAGACCCATCTAGGTGCTGACAATTGTCAACTCTGTATCTCCAGTCCCGATCTTTCCCTGAATTTCAGGTCCATATACCACCCCTCACCACT